ATGAGAAAGGGAAGTATTTTTTTAGGTGATTCTGCTATAAAGGAGCACAAAAATTCTTGTCTACTTCCACCTACAGAGGAAAAATGATTATCTAAATAAACCCTTCCAAGAATTATGAAGTCACTTGGAGAAGTGTCCTGAGGCAAGTCCAGAGCCAAATGCAAACGGCCTTCTACCCCCAACCCCTCCTCTCTGACATTGAATTAAGAGGGATTTAAGTTTTTTCTTTATTTTCTAAATGTTATGAATTAGTCATTTGGGTTTTTTATTATGTATATATAACATAAAATTTACCATTGTAACCGTTTTTAAGTGTATAGTTAAGTGGCATTAAGTACATTCACAGCATTGTTCAACCAATGGCACTAACCATTTCAAGAACTTTCTCATCATCCCAAACAGAAGCTCTGTACCCATTAAACAATATCCCCCGCATTCCTGCTTTCCCACCTCTCCAGCCCTTGGTAATCTCTAGTTTACTTTCTGACTCTATGAATTTTTCTATTTCTACATTGTGCTAAGTGAAGTAAGTCAGACACAGCAGGCTGAATATTGTAAGATTTCTCTTATACATTCAGCCTTTAGTGTCTGGCTTGTTTCACTGCTATCATGTCTTCATGTTTCAGTCATGTTGTAGTTTGGGGCAGAATTTTACTCCCTCTTAAGAGTGAATACTATTCCATTGTGTGAACATACCATATTATGTTTATGAATCTATCTGCAGGTGCACATTTGGGTTTTTCCACCTTTAGCTATTATGAATACTATTGCTATTAACATTGTTATGCAAGTATCCATTGGAGTTCCTGGTTTCCATTCTTTTAGGTACACAACTAGCAATGGAACTGCTGGGTCACACGGTCATTCTGTTTAACTTTCTGAGGACCCATCAAACTTTTCCACAGTGGCTACGCCATTCTGTATTCCTACCAACAATGCAGTTGCTACATCCTTGTCAACACTTGTCCTTGTCCACCTGAGTTTGGCTTTCTTTTATAATAGCCATTCTAATGAGTATATTTATTATTTTCTAAATCAGGAAAAACACTGTAATCAATAATTAATATGGACCATGAAGGAGATGATGGCAGTAAGAATGTAAGTAAACCCATTACAAAGTTGTTTTTCATTCAGTCAGTCATGTTTTAAAAAAATTTTATTAAAAATTTTGATATTTTTCATTGTAAATTTTTTTCTTTAATTTTGTTTTTATAAAGGCTATTGTCTTAAAATATTACTGATTTTGATTACTGCATGTTTGTTTGCATCTCCTTGATTTTGTGCCAGAGTGGACTGAGTGCCTCATTCACCTCACCCTGGCCTGGTCCTGGAGTTGCTGATGACCTGGAAGCACAACTGGGTAACCTGGAATAAGATCAAATTTGGTTGGCTTGCGCTTTGGGCTTTCCTTTGCTAAACCTATCAAATTAATAGTATTTTACACTACAACTGATCAGAGAAGAGCCCCGGCTGGTATGCAGAACAAGACCATTTAATGTCCATAAAACAACAAAGGGTCAGCAAACACTTGGGGTTTCATGAATTATTCTAGAATAATACCAAAAGTACACTTTTTTCTTTTTTATTGCAGTTGGATCTAGAATCCTAGACTCTAACCAGGTTCCTTTTACCTTTCATATAATTCAAATGTAAAAATTTGAAAAAAGCAATTCACATCTGGATTTCATAATAGCTAAGAAGGGAGGTTGTCTGGTTAAGGTTTGTATGGTGTATGTCCACAGGTTGGTTCCCCAGAAACAGCCAGAGCTGGAGTTTAGAGGAGGATATTTATTACAGATCAGCACCTGAAAGGGCAGAAGTAATCAAAGATGGAGAGTTCCTACGTAGCCCAAGAACATCCTCTAAAGGAAACATATAAGGCTGATGCACTGATTCACACCAAGAAATTTTCCTTAGTACGACAACAATAGCCAAACTACAACTTGTAGTTTCAACAACTTGTCCTCGCATGTCCTTTTTCTGTTCCAGGACCTGATCTGAGATCCAGCGCCTTAACATACTCAGGAATCAAATACAGTATTATTTCTTAGCTCAATTATACCAGATTCCTGAAGGATGAGGAACCTATCCTGTTTGGGGAAACTGATAGAATTGCAGGGGCCAGGGAAATGTCCTCTTTCCTGAAGTTTCACTGGAACAAACGAACAAATATTAAATAGGAGAGAAATCAAAAACATTTTATTCACGTGCAAAAGGGAAACAAAGAGCATAGGGCTTATCACAGGAGGTAGTTACCCACTAGCTAAGCATCACTCAGAACCATATATACCCCTTTTTTCCTGTAGGGGAGGGGGAAATGAAGAATGCAGACAATTTTGAGGAGTTATGGATGATTATTAGGGGATAATAAAACAGAAAATAGCTTGTAAAAAATATTCTTTTTGGAATCTGAATGAGCCTGAGAGACAGATGTCATATGAGAGTCGATCCAGGTGTGGTTACATTTCTGTCTTCTTTCCTGAGATAGATGATGGGACTGGGGTGGGGGTGGAAGGCAGCTGTGTTACTTTTTGCAGTTTGCTCTGAATACAGATAAGGGTATTCCAGGGAGAGTCTCTTCCTAAGCTTGCGTGGGCAGAAGCAAGATAAGCTTTTCCTTTTGGACAAACTCTTACTGTGCTCCAAAGTGCCATATTCTTTGAGGTATAATTCTCTGAGCCCCAAAAAGGGTCAAATGGAAACTTGCCAGTCTGAGTGGCATTGTTCTGGGAGACACTTTGGTTACATGCTATGATGATGAACTGGACCAACTATTGCCGGATGCTCAGAACTCTACTGAACCACTACTTTTTGACTCTTATATTTGAGGTTACGTTTACTACCATATGGTGATACAGTGTCACACTGGCATCGTGTGTGAGATTATAATGCCCTGATGGTCAGATGTATTGGGAAATTGAGTTAAAAGCCTCTGATTACAAACTGGTTCTTCTAGGTGTTAGGCACATGTTTGTTTTGCTGTAAGAGAACTTTGGCCAGGCTTGTGTAGTTAAGAATTCAGCATTGTCTTGAGAGAAGGTCTGGTCTCTGTCCTTGGTTTCTGGGAGGCCCCAGTAAAAACTCTTCACACAAGAGGCTCAGGTGGGCTTCCCTGGTTGGCAGTACTTCAAGCATCAATACTGGGAAGGAAACAGCCTAATCCCATGGGAGATGACAACAGAAGGTCTATATTTAGAACCCTCTAGACTTTGTCCTATGTACTTCTTTCCTAGGCTGATTTTGATCTGTGCCCTTTCCCTGTAATAAACTATAATCATGAGTGTAATAGCTTTCAGAGACTTCTATGAATTCCTCCAACAAACTATCACACTGAAGGTGGTTTGGAGACTCCTCCCCAGACTTCCAACAGGTTTAGAAGTCTTGAGGACTATACCCTCGAATCTCACAGTTTAATTCTGGACAGTAAGTCAAGAAAGAAGAAAACTCAATTCCTTTTGCTCTTTAGCTCTTTGGTATTTGTACTATAATAGCATTTCCTTTTTTTTTTTAAAGTAAGCAAACAAAAATATATGCCTTATGCACATCAAACCCACAGTATGACCACAGATAACCAGCATTAGTGAGAATGTAGAGAAAAGGGAACTCACATAAAGTGTTGGTGGGAGTGTAAAATGGTACAGTTACTTTGGCAAAGTCTGTAATCCCTCAATTGGTTAAGCAGAGTTCCCATGAGATCTGGTTAATTCCACTCCTAGATCTACACCCAAGAGAATTTAAAAGGTATGTCCACACAATAATGTGTACATAAATGCTCATAGTACCACAGGTGTAGTGAGCGGGGCAGGATATACGGGAGATTGATCCCAGGGTTTCAAATACGCTAGACAAAAGCAAGCACATTAACCTCAAGCTACAACCCACATTCCAAAAAGTGGAAACCACCTAAATGACAGTGAATGAATGGAAAAATAAAACACAATATTGCCATAAAATAGAATATTATTTGGTAATGAAAAAGTAATATTACACATTGTCTACCACGAATGAACCTTGAAAACGTGCTAAGAATCCAGACACAGGGTTACATATTATTATGTTTCCATTTATATGAAATATCCAGAATAGACAAATCTGTAGACTGATTAGTGATTGCGTAGGGCTGGGCAGGGTTTGGGAGAAAATGGGGAGTGAGTGCTAATGATTACACTCCTTTGGGGGTTTAACAAAATGGTATGAAATTGTGATGACAGTTGCACAACTGTGACTATTAAATGCCAGTTATCATGCACATTAAATCGGTGAATTGCATATTTATGGTACGCGAATTAGATCCCCATAAAGCTGACTTGTTTAGTTTTGAACCTGCCTTGGAAAGTTGAACTCTGAGCTCAACGAAACCAAATCATCTTGGTGATTTTTCAAAACTCCTTGCGAAGGCTTTCCCGGTCCTCTGAAAAAAAACGAAAGTGGGCTGTGACCATTTTCTAAGTACGCCAGGAAACATGAACTGGAACCTAGGATTCAGCGTTTGATCTGTGGCCTGCACACCGAGCACGATCCGAGCTCCTACAGCCACTGTTTAGAACGCTCTCGGGCACCCCCTAGGCCGGGCGGGCCGGATCGGGAGGCGGCGGAACTCCCAGGATGGAGCGGTGGCGGCCTCGGCCTCGCGCCGGGAGAAGGAAGGGCTGGAAACCGACTCTGCGGGGTCCTAAGACGCAACCTCAGCGCACTCCCGGAGCAAGTCACCCTTCCCAGCAGCGCTCCGAGGCGGTGCTGCCCGGGGTCGCTCGCTCGCCTAGCGCGGGGAGGCCCCACCTGCGAGGAGAGGTGGCAGGGTCCCCACCTTAGGGGTGGAGACCTCCGGGCCCCTTGCTGCGAGTCTGTCGGCCTCCCCACCCTTGGCCGCGCCTTGCTGCGCCGCGCCGCGCCGCCCCGCCCCGGTGCGCCCCTCTCCGGCTCCTCCTCTTCCCCTCGGCCTGCGTCCCGCCCTCGTCCGCAAACCCAAACACTTCGGCTCCTGCTGCGCCGGCCGCGCGTGATCCCCCAGCCTCAGCCGCCGCCGCTAGTGCTGCCGCTGCTGCCGCGCGCCTGGGCGCCCGAGCCTGTGCCGCTCCGCCCGCCGCGGCCCGCGGTTCGGCCGAGCGATGCTGCTGCTGGCCGCCGCCTTCCTCGTGGCCTTCGTGCTGCTGCTCTACATGGTGTCTCCGCTCATCAGCCCCAAGCCTCTCGCCCTGCCAGGGGCGCACGTAGTGGTGAGTGGCCTCCTGTTGCTGCGCCCAGACCTCCCGGTCCGTTCCGCCAACCCGCGACCGAGGCCGACGAGCCTTCCTCCAGGCCAGGGTCCCCGGGAATGGACGGCAAAAGGGGAGTCACCTGCCGCCGTCCACCCTGGCACTGCCCCTCCGGGCCGGGCGCCCGGCCTCGAGGACCCGCCCTCCGTGGCATCTGGCTCTCCCCGGGGCCAGATCGCGATGGACGGGATCAACTGCAGCCTACGGGGTTGTCGGGCTCCAGGGCCTCTGTAGCTGCTCCTTGGTGCCCAGAGCATCCCTGGGATGTGGATGTTTTGGTCCTCGGCTTTCCCGATGAGTCAACAGAGTGGCTGAGAAACTTTGCCAAGGACGCAGCGGTCGGCGGCGCGCAAGGTGCCGCGCCGACCCAGGGGAGAGCAGCCGCGGCCTGCGGGGTCGAGAGGGTGCACCGCAGGGAAGGGGGTCACGAGCCATCAGGACCCGCCGAGGAGGCTCGGGACTGGAGGATGGCCCGTGCGAGGGACAGAAAGGACAGTTGCCAAAGGAGTGCAGGAAGTGACTCACCTGGGGGTAACTGCTCGCGGAACCCAGTGGTCTGGAGGGCGAGGGCGGCTCTGTCGGGTCTGCACTGCCTTCTGTGAGCGCAGCTCCGCGTCCGTGATTGCTGCTTCAGTGAGATTCTTTGCCACTTTCAGAGTCAAAGAATGAGCCAAATGACGTGGCTAGGGCTTCGGGACTGAAGGAGAAGTGAATAGTTTGGTTTCTCACCGGAAGCTCCCTTGTCCCTATTCTGCAAGTGTGGCACCTTTCTCAAATCCTGTGCCCAGGGCTTCACTGTCAGTCAGCACTGGCTTTCTCGCTAGTTTTCTTGTTTGGACCCCACAGCCTGAGGCTCACTGAGGCCTGGAGTTATGAATAAGGAGAGCTAGTCACTAAGTTGGCAGTGTACATCATCTTAGTGCCTGAGGTGACATATACCTGTTGCTGCCATCTCACCTCTCCACTGGACTGTTACAAAATCAAAATAGGGTGGTTATTTATTTTAGTGTGCTTTAAGTCTGAACGAGGGTTTGTGAATGATAAAATGTATTTTCTTTCTTTCTGTTTCTTTTCTTTTCTTTCTTTCTTTCTTTTTTAAACTATGGGATTATTTTCAGCTCCTGCTATTCCTGATGTGGAAGATGAGGAGTTGGGTGTAGATTGACTAGAGAGAGGGAGTAAAATCTAATAATCACACCAGGTTTTGAATGGTTCACATCCACAAGAGAACTTGTGCCTCAAAACCTGGCTTTAAAAGTTGGAGTCTTTCAGAACTTGTGCTTGCAGAGAAGAACTTAGGGAGAAAATGCAAAACCAAAATTGGAATGAAAATTTTAATTCAGTATTTATAAGAAAGTTTATTCAACCTTGATGCTAGTCCTTCTTTCCTATCAAGTTCCAGGTCACAGGTAAAATAACAAGTGTCCTGTCTGTTGGGACAGACAAGGAATTTCTTGTCCCACTTTAATACTAAAAATAACGTACATATACAACCACTGAAAAGGATGTGAGCTTGACATGAATAATTCACATGATCTCACCATCTGTCTTTTTTAATGTCCTCAAAAGAGTAAAGTGTAATTTACTTGAGATTTGTTAGGCATAGAGCAGCACAGGAGCTAATCTTCGTGAAGGATTTGGAGCTATTTCCCGATTATAGGACGATTCCTCTGTGCTGGTGCTGTCTGTCTGTGGATAGTGACCCCACGCAGCACATATTACACACTGGTGCGTGTTTCTTTTGGATGGTGGTGAGCAGCTTTGGTGGCAGTAAGCCAGCTCCTGTTGCTCCCAGTAAGGATTATAAGGTGTTATTAAAAAGAGAGTAACATTGAAACAGTATTTGCAATGGGCAGTAAGAGGAGTGATACAGAAAGGAAATTAAACTGGTGACTTTAGTGTCCTCCACTTGGGCTACTACTTGTCAGACAATATGCATTTGCCTTTTTTTTTTTTTTTTTTTTTACAGCCATTGTGAAAGTCCTCTATATGAACTTGCAACATTCAGAGTAACACAGCCCAGAGTTGGCCTTAGTGTGTTTTTGGATACCTTCTAAGAATTAGCTGGCTTGACTAGAAGGTAGTTTCCCAAGAGCCTTGACCCGGAAGTGGAAGTCCTACTCCTGTTATACAAAAATCTTAAAAATTACAGGGCTTAAGCCTTGTTTTTTGCCCTACAGCAAATTTACATAGCTAACTTTCCTACATACAGCCTAGAAAAGGACAGCCATAACTATAGCTAATATCCACACAGCATATAAATTTTCTCAATAACTCATAACTTCCTCTTGCATTAATTGATTTTATAATAATAAGTTTACAAGTTCATTCAGCATCCTGTTTTCTAGGGAAATGGCATCACATTCCATTTTGCAAAATAATGTAGGCAAATGTTTATTTAGTGACTGCTTGTTGCAAGGTTCTGTGCTAGGAATGAGAGAGATCAAGTGCACTTGGCATTTGTCCTTAAGGAACTGAGTGGAGTCTGGAGGGAGCCAGGATGTTAGTAAAGTCACTTCACAGGCAGACATCAACAGGTAAGGGCAGGACTTTGTGACAGAGTCAGGAGAAGCTTCATGAAGGAGGGGACATTTGAACTGAGCTCTGCAGGATCAGAAGGGTTTGGAGGTAGAGGTATGTGGTGATATAGGGTGGAGGGATAGTTTAGCAGCAAGGACAGAATCATAAAACAGGGACATTTTTAGGGCCCCTTCTAGTTGCTATCTGGTGAAACCTAATAAACCAAAACAACCCGTGAAACATCCAGATAGTAAAGACTTCCTCAGAGCCTGCTTTCAGCCCAGGCCACAGGCTCATTTTTATAATAACCTTCTATAGATAATTGGTTAATTATCCACCAGAGAAATCTCTCCACTGGTGGCCAGTTGAGGTTAGGAGAAATGAAGGGTGCCTGCAAGTCACAAGGAGATAAGCCTTGGTGTGGGAGGGGTTTCATGGTGTTGAAGTCACGGGATGGGAGACGTTCCCTAAAGCATGATTTATATCTAACAGTAAAATATTCAAAATAACCTGAAGGGCTGACTGTAGGGAAATAGCTATATTTTCAAACTGCTCTTTAACGTAATATTATAAAGTCTTTAGTTTTTTGTCATAGACTTTATGACTTTATTTTATTTTATTTTATTTTTTGCCAGACCTGGGGATGGAATCCAGCATCTCACACATGTACCTCTAAGCCCAGCCCTGTACATAATCTTTTAAAAAGCAGGATGTAGTATCTTGAGATATATAATTGACATAGGAACTGTTATGGGGCAGGCTATATGGGCAATAACCAAACAGACTCCATTTTACCCCGAGACACCATATCATGTAAGAAATGCTTCTCCCAGGGAAAGCCCCACCTCTGTACCCATTAATAGTTACCTGGCATAACAGGACCATGACCAGAAAGACAGCTCTGCATTTGTCTGATTAAGTGAAATATGTATAGAGTCTCCCCTGTGCCAAGTGCTAGGAATATAGTGGAGAATGGAATAGCATTGGGATTTCTGTGGAGTTTGTGGGATGGTGATGGGAGAAATGATTGTGAATCAAACAGTCACACAGATGTATGACTGTTGGGTTGTGTAAGTACCATAAAGTAAAGAAAAAAAGAATGCAGTTCTAAAAAGTGGGCTGGGGGGCATATCAGGATACAGTGAATACTTACCTGAGGAAGTAGTGTTTGAGCTGAGATTTGCAGCCACATAAAAGAGCAGGAGGAAAGCATTGGTAGCAAGCAAAATAGAACGTGCAAAGGCCCTGTGATGGAAGGGTAAATGGAACTGAGGAATAGAACACTGCAGGAAGAAAAGTGTGGTATTTCAGGATATTCTGATCATATATTATATAATAAGGAGTCATTTAAAATACAAGATATACACAGGTGACCCCTCTTTCAATCTGTTGTAGATGTAGTATTATATAGATGTGCAGTAAGGCAGGAAAATTCATGTGGATTTTGAATTCAAGGCAGACTAATACATTATTTATTAGCTTTCCCTCTAGTGAACTCAGAAAATTATAGGTGTGTGCTTTACAGTTCAGCACTGAAAACGAAGCAGTTGGCTCTGCTGACAGCATAGTTCTTCATGCTTGCACTAACTCCATACACTCAGCCTGGTGGGAAGAAGCTGCAAGAGCTGGGCAGTTCTTGTAGAACCCCTAATAGTTACTCTGTTCTATTCTATTCTGCTCTGTTCTGCTGGGGGTAGAGCCCTGGGCTTCATGTGTGTAGGCAAGTGTTCTACCACTGAGCTACACCCCCCCATCCCATCCTAATGATTTTAATGAACTTCCTATGGAGGAAAGATTGCAAGTGCTAAGATGTCATTATTTTGTTCATAGGTTACAGGAGGTTCCAGTGGCATTGGAAAGTGCATTGCAATTGAGTGCTATAAACAAGGAGCATTTATAACTCTGGTTGCACGAAATGAGGTAGGTGTTCTTGGTTCATTATTGCTGACTTACTTATTGTGCTTTAAATTAAGCAGCGAGGCTGTGCCAAGAGTTCTAGTACTCACAGCTGTGCTGGGAAGTGCTCCCCTCCGTGATGTGACTGTGATACTTAAACTACTGGTTCTTTTCTGTGTTTAGGCCTAGGACTTCTCTGTTGAAGTCAGATCAGTTCACCAAATATCTAGTTAGTGGCAGTAGCATATCAGACAGCATTATTGTAGACATTGTGGATCTAGAGATAGGCTGAAGTGTGGTTAAGCAGCGCACCTGGGCATAGGAGGCCGAAAGTGCTGGCAGCAGTGATTCTGAAGCTGATACCCGAAGGTGTGTAGGTGTTTCACATTCTGAAGCTGAAGCCCAAAGGCGTGGAGTGTTTGTCTATGACTGCTGACGATGTGATGTATATACATCTCTAGGGAAATCCACGCACCACGGGACTCTAGTCCCCCCTGACACTTAGGGCCAAACGTATTTTCTACTTCAGGTTGATGCAGGGTCTGTTTTCTCTTTTTCTCAGGGTCTGTTAGTCTCACCAGAGTTGTTTTAGAGGACAGAGCAGTGACACTGTGTGCACAAGAACAGTCCTAAAGTCCTCTTGACCCCACGTGGGGCCGAGGAAGTGGCTGTGACTGTGTCCACTGCCCTTGGGAGCAGAGCATAGAGCGTAATGCTTGGTGCACAGCAGGCACTCAAGACAAATTTGTTGAATGAAGAAATGAGGGAAGGACAGAGAGGATGGTAGTGCAAGCATGGCCTCCTGGCTTTGGGATGAACCGCTTCAGTAGGGGTGGTCGGCTGAACAGGGCCCCTAGGAAAGGCAGGCCAGGGTGGACCTCGGGGGACAGTGTTCAAATTATGACCCAGAATCAGGCTTGTCATCCATAACTTTTTGTTTTTCAAAAACTGGGAAAGGCAGAATTAGCTACCTTTTATTTATACTTTGACTCTCTAATAATTAATAATTAATTTGCTTTGGCCGGGAAGCCACCTTACATGAATGGAAGCACAGATTCAATAAGATGCATTTTGCGAGCTTTTTCACAAGGGCTGGTCCTCGTTGCAAGATGAATGAAAGAGTACTAGGGGAGGCCCGTGCTGCAGGGGTCCGGCAGGGGTCCTCCCCTCGCTGGAACTGAATGCCCGTGAGAGCCTTCTGGGCTTTGAGAAATTCTTTATCTTCTAATGTAATTTTTCATACCGATCTTGGCTGTCCTATGTGTATCTTTATGAAGAGAACCAGTAGTTTAAGTATCACAGTCACATCACGGAGGGGAGCACTTCCCAGCACGCACGATTGGAAACCTTGTGGGTCCTGGGGAATCACCCGACTCCCTTTTTGTTCTTTTCTATTTTCTCAGGATATATTTAAGTTACTTCGGTGGCAGATTAAGATTCTGTAAACTATCTTTTTTTTTCTCAAAAATAAGCAAAACAAACAAAATTGAAACCTTGGGAAAATTACTCATTGGCTTGTCGAGGAGTGGTTTTTTGAAATGGGCCGGGCATAGCTTTCCCTTCTCTCGTTGGGGCCTTTGGATGATGGCTTACCAGCACCCGCACACCTGCAGCTGTGTGAAGCCGCTCGCGTTTTCCAGCACTACTAAATAGTGTCAGATCAAAACATTTGTTAGAGCCACCCTCAGCGATCCATGCCGCATATTCACGATTTGAATTTATTTATTTTTCTATTTCTCTGCAATAAATTTGAAAATGTATTCATAGCTTGAAATATTTTAATTCTTTCTCTCATGGACTGGGGCCTGTAGCTACTTAATGAAGGTGCTGTCCTGTGTAGTTTATAGAATTTAAGAAATATTTATACAAACAATTGCTTTTCCTGTCCTTTTCAGCAAACCAGCAGTCAGGCGTGCAGCCACCAGCTCTAATTGTTCTGTGTTGCTTTCAGGACAGGCTGCTGCAGGCCAAGAAGGAAATCGAAAAGCACTCTATTAATGACAAACAGGTAAAGCACCGTCTTCAGGAGGCATTTTCTATAGCATCAACACAGTTGGAGAAAGGAAAACCAGGGTTACTTCAGCTGGATCACTGAAAGCAACTATGATTTTCCTGGCTCAACTACACCAAATCAGACTGTTGAAAAGGTGAAATTGTTTCAATTGGCTAGGAACTCAGGTTATTACCAAAAAAAAAAGTATAGACTCTCTCTTTCACACCTGACAGACGGTCATTTCAATTAAATATATATATATATATATTTTTTTTCAGTTATTTTATATATATATATAATTTTTTTTTGGTGCTAAAGATTGAATCCATCTGTGCTTTATCACTGACCTACACCCCCAGCGCCATATTTTTTTTTAATTTTGAGGCACGGTCTAGCCAAGTTCTCCAGGCTGGCCCTGAACTTGAGATTCTCCTGCTTCAGCCCGAGTCACTGGAAATGGCCTGGGCCATTCAATATGAAATGGCCTGGGCCATTTCATATTCATATTCATTTAAATAAAATTTATACAAATGCTTAAGAGGATAGAGTATTTGAAACACTTTTGGTTGTGGAATTTTTTGGAGAATAAAATGGGGCAACTGATATATATTTGAGGATGAAGCATAATGACAAATTAGTTACTAGACACCTGTCACTCAAGTTAAAGAAATGGAGTTTAACAGAGTATCCCCCACACCAGCCTCTCATCCCTGGAGGACACCCCGACCTGAATTTTGTGTTGATTCTTCTTTGCTTTTTAAAAAACTTCTACCATTCTTAGTAAAATCTGCATGATCTGATAGTGTTTTTTTGTTTTGTTTTGTTTTTTTTAAAGTTCTGTTTCTTTTTTAACTCTCTGGCATCTTCTTTTTTTTAAAACTGCTTTCTTGAGATATATTCGCACACCACACAAAATCGCCCCATTTGAAGTGTGCAATCTTTGCTTTTGAATATGAATCACAGTTGAGCAACCACCACCACAGTCAATTCTAGAACACTCCCTTTACCCCATAAAGAGTCTCCACACCCGCTGGCAATCTCTCTCCCGCTCCACCCACTCTCGGTCCTGGGCAATCACTAATGTACTTTTGGTCTCCATAGATTGACATGTCATCATTCTTTATGCATTTTTGCACAACTTTCTTTCTTCATTCAATATTATTTTTTTTTAGTTTATTAAAATATATGTTTTTAGTTGTTGCTGGACCTTTATTTTATTTATTTGTTTACATGCGATGCTGAGAATCAAACCCCGTGCATCACACATGCTAGGCAAGTGCTCCATCACTAAGCCACAACCCCCAGATCTCAATTTTATTTTTAAAAAGCCTTTTATATTGTTGCATTACATAGGAGTTCACTTAATTTTTCTACTCCTATATGGTGTTCAATTATAAACTACCTTTTGTTCACTGGTTCTATTGTTGGGTGGATTTTTAGGTTGTTCCTAGTTTTTTTGTGGTAGTTTGTTTTGGTTTTTGCTATTGTAAGAGCACTATCTCTTTGTACACGTGTGCAGCAATGGTACATACTTAGAAATGGAATTGCTGAGCTGCTGTACATGGAGCCATGTGTCTTCACCCTCTCCAAATTGGTTTTACTCCCAGCAGTCAGTGTGGTTTAGGTTGTTCCGAGTCCTTGTCGACACTTGGTATTAGCAGACTTTTAAGCTTTGCCTTTCAGATGGGTTTTAAGTAGTATTTCACTGTGGTTTTAATTGCTTTTCCCCCATTCATGAATTTAATACAGATCTTTCCATCCCAATAAAAATAAATCTCCCTCATTTTTTCAGATCGCTATGGCACACAATATGGGGGACCCCAGAGTTTGTTTAATCAGTTCCCTATGGTTGAGCTGTTTCCACTTTCTTTATTTATTTATTTTTGGTGTGTGTGGGGGTCAGTGCTACAGCCTAAGCTACAGATAAAATTCCTTGTCCACAGAGTTTTTCTCTAGGCCTGTGGCCCCTGACTGTACCCCATTCTCTGAGACATCAGAAGGTGGATGTAGCCCCCTCCGCTTCCCCTGTGTTCACGGGACTCGTGATGGACAGGAAGGTGGAGTAAGCTGGAAGGTGGTAGCTGAAGGCCGTGCTGCCTGCTGCCAGCACCATCCCCGCTCTGGGCTTTAGGTCAGGTGGAAGATAACTTGTCTCCATCCTGTGGAGGGGGCAAGTCATCAGGGCTGGGCAGGTGAGAGCTTGATCCTTCTGCCTGGACTGGCTTGTTTTTCCCAGTGAGGAGGCCCTGCAGGGGGGTATTTTTGTCCTGGTAATTCGTTAATATTTTTTTTTGAAATTTCACTTGTCTGTGGCATAGGTTTTATGCCACAGATGGTCTGATACTTTGTGAAATGTATTAAAAGACACATTTTAAAATTAATCCTATGATGCCTATCCTCCTTTTAAAAAATGTTTTCTACATGATGACTTGGAAATAAAATCTACTTGGGGTGTATTACAACCAAGGGCAAAGCCCTCTTGTCTAGAATATTCCAGGTTGTGTTTATGATCGGGACTGTTTCCTTTTCTTAGGAATTTAAATCTTTTGGCTACAGTTCCTTCTTCCATTAAATAAAAATTTCCACCCTGCTGTGTCAATTTCTAGAGAAATGAGTCTCTTTTTTTGTTGTTGTTTATTTGACATGGAGTCTTGTTATATAGCCCAGGCTGGCCCTGAAATTCTGGGCTCAAGAGATCCTTCTGCTTTAGCCTCCGAAGTAGCTGAGACTGCAGACACACACTAGCACACAGCCGCTCACCTCCTGGCACTCAGGAAGTGAAGACAAGGGAAGAGGCTGGGTCCCAGGATCCTCTTCAAGGGCCTGCTCCTGGGGGCCTGTCTTCCTCCCACCAGGCTCCCTCTTCTAAAGGTTTTCTAGTTTCTAGTGGCACCACAGGCTGGGGATCAAGCCTTCAACACATCAGCCTTTGTGGGGACACTCAGCCAAAGTGAAGCACCAGGCATTCCAGATGGGTGCCAATGCTCTTCCCCATTCCATAATTCCTAGGTACAACTGTCTTAACTGCATCACTAACCGGTTTCAGTCACTGATCTGTACATTCAGAATCATTCACCTTTATCATAAAGGATTACTTTTAATTAAAAATAACTTTAAAATTGGTTTCAGCACTTGCATGTCTCTGACATTTATTTGTTTTCCTTAACAGGTGGTGCTCTGTATCTCAGTTGATGTATCGCAAGACTACAACCAAGTAGAGAATGTCATAAAACAAGTAAGAGGTGGGGTTGACTGGAATTAGAGCGCTTGACTTTTGATTGGTTCTTACCATTTTGCTCTGTGACTTGGAATTGGTAAATCTTCCCTGTATGTTTAACAGTTTTGTAGGTTTCATTTACTGGCCTTGATTTGCTGCTAAGTGATTCTTTTCTTCTCTCTCTTACTTTCCCTTTGTTACTTTTTTTTTTAGGCTCAGGAGAAACTGGGCCCAGTGGACATGCTTGTCAACTGCGCAGGACTATCACTGTCAGGAAAATTCGAAGATCTCGAAGTTAGCACTTTTGAAGTAAGTACAAATGTTTGCTTCCTGGGGCAGCCCAGCTACAAAAAGCAGAACAAGGCTTGGGTAAGGGCTTTAAGAATAAAGTAGATGAGTGCATTCAGGCGTTCATAGATGCTTGAGAAGACTGAGGAGGGCTGACAAGGTCTTGGTCCCAGGGCTGTGACCGCTGAACCTTAAGAACATGGACTGGTCTCTGAACCTCAGTTTTTCTCAGCTCTAAAATGAAAAATGCAACATCTCCTATGACAGATTACTGCAGTGTTTGCTGCGATCACATAAGATGTTGGGTCTTCACGTCAAGTACCAGTATTAAGCAGGTTTTCCAAGGAACCCTTTTAATAATTTCTTTCAATATCAAAGAAATGGGCGTTAGATTTGAAATCTTTTTTAAGGGCACAGAATTTTGCAGTTAGCGTATATCTGCCACGTTTTTCTGCTCAGGCTTCAGTGTGCTGATGGTTTTGAATTTTGCTTGACTCTGAAGTTAAACTTTTATAGAGAAGGAGACTGCTGAGGCAATTTTGTAACTGTCTTGCTTCTGGCGGCCGTGGGAAAGCATCACCAACTCTGGATTTACTTACGGCAAGCAGGAGAGTCAGGGTGTAGATAGAAGGACAGTGGTGGGATGTGTCTTCGGGCTTCTTTATCAGTTTGGCATTAAAAGAGTTGTCCAGACTTGTATACCTTCATGTGGAAGGAATGGGAGGGAGATTTGAAGATTATATCAGCAGCTGTGTAAAGAATTAATTTGGGAAAAACAGTTCTTATAGTCTAGGCATGAAGTGATGAGACAAAGAATTTGGGGGGTAGCCAGAAAAGGAGTAGGCGTGTGCGTGAGTGAGTGTGTGTGTGTGTGTGTGTGTGTGTGTGTGTGTGTGTGTGATATGGGGTGAGAACCCACAGACTCAGTTTGACTAAACATGGGGATGAAGGGTGGATGGGGGCATATATAGTTGCATGGTTGTGATAAACGCATCGCTGGGACCCCAAGAAGGGGTGGTGTGCGCCTGGACAGCAGGAGTAGGCATTGTTGGCCTGCTTGTCTGGTGGTGGAACAAAGGCACTCAGTGGGTGGTGCGTGGGGGGTGTGACTGTGAACAGGAAACTAAGCGCTCACGCCAGGTGAAAGTGTGCAGGTATCAGTGACAAGCAGAAGGTGTGAAGCTTGTGTTGTTTCAACCGATTGTGTAAGAGCAGGTCCCCCAGGAGGGGAGGGGACTGTGGGAAACCTGCACCTGGTTTCTTTTGGACTTTGTCCCCAGTGCCTTTTCCTCCACCGATTTTGTTTGTATCTTTTCCCTGTAACAAATCTTCGTTGTGACAGTGACTACAAGCTGAGGATTGTGAGGCTTTCTAGGGAGTCACCCAGCCTGGCGAGGTCTCTTGATTTCCCTTTTCCACGGTTTCTCCACGCTGTGTCTTCCTCATCCTGAGCCCTGGACACTGAGAAGTCTTCGTCAGTTTCCTTTTGTCCTTCCATTCTGTCTGCTTCCTTGTTTATTTCTTCTAAGGCGCCAGGGTGTCTGTCTGGTGTTAGGGGCTTTGCTGGGGTGGCCGCTGATGCCTGACCATGTGTGTACATTGAGATCAGGACTCTAAAGGGCTAAAGGGGAGTCCTGTGCTCTGGGTAGAGCCGTCTCATCTGGCCCTCTGTGATAGGGCCAGATCTGGGGTGGGACCAGGTTCCATAGGTGTTATTTATTGGGTTGAACAGAAGCCTTAACAAAGAATCCTGGCCTCCTGCCTGGGAGACATGCACTATCTGCAGTGTCCTGAGGGCAACCGTGGTGGAGAGTGGCGGTCTCCATGTTCAGCAGACTATATTAAACCTGGACTCATCCTCACTAGGAGCTACACCTCTGTCCCGGCCACGCTGGAAGAGGGGCCGTATCTGCTCTGTGGAGAGGGAGGCCTCTAAGATCGGACTGTCCTTTTTTTTTGCTTTTGTCCTTGTCCTACATCAATTTTTTTAAAGTAAGGTGAGATTCATATAAAATAAGCCTCTTTAAAGTGAACAGTTAGAGGCATTTACTGCATTCAAACGTTCACAGTGTTGTGTGACTGCCACCTCTAACTGCAAGACATTTTCATCACCACAAAAGGGAACCCCCTATGGGTACCAGGGATTGAACTCAGAGGCGTTCAACCACTGAGCCACATCCCCCGCCATATTCTGTATTTTATTTAGAGACAGCATCTCACTGAGTTCTTTAGCGCCTCGATTTTGCTGAGGCTGGCTTTGAAGTCGTGATCCTCCTGGCTCAGCCTCCCTGAGCTGCTGGAATGACAGGCATGTGCCACCACACCTGGCTTTGGATGTTTTTTATGAGTGGAGTCCTGTGATCAGTGCCCTTGTGTCTGGCTCCTTTCATTCAGCATGGTTTCTGAGGTCCCCCGCCTTGTAGCATGTATTATGTTACCTCCCCCTTTACATGGGCTGGTAACACTCCACTGAATGAGGTGTGCTTTATGTTTATCCAGTTGTCGTTGATGGACATCTGGGCTTTCTACCCAACTGCCTGTACCCTGACCTCCTGTCTCTCAGCCCTGCACCCATCTAGCCCTCCCCATCCCACAGTGCTCAGTGCTTCTTGAGCCATTTTTAGGGTCCAGTCCTGTTTTGTTTTGTGGTACTGAGGATCGAACCCAGGGCCTTGGGCATGGGGCAAGCACTCTATCAACTGAGCCGTGTCCCCAGCCCCAGTCTATTCTTAGTTTCTCCACTCCTGCTAAGAATTAGGTTGTCCACGTTCTGCTGAGTTACTCCTCACTGGTCCTCCTGTTCTTCAACTTGCAAAATGCTCTTGTTCTTATTTCCATTTCTATTTTCTTTTTCTTATGTGTTTGTCCAGGAAGTGGGATCTCTAAAGGTGCCAAAGTGAACATTGTGGACCGCCTTTTTTCAGATTTTTTTAAGGATATTTTTATTATCAAAACAATATAATGATACTAAAACATAATCACTTATGATTTAATATATTTCCGTGATTCTATGCTTGCATATGTATTCTTTTATTCATTATTTAAAATAGTTATAGCCCTGGTCTAAAGACACCTGACCTCTGTTTCTTAAAAACCAATGGCATAAGTGTTTCTCCATGTCACTCCTGCTGTTTGGGGCCATCTTAAACATATTAAGATGGCACCAAAAAGCTAATATTTCTACAAGACTCTTAATAGAGAAACATTTAAATGCAAGCATTCTTAGATTCTCAAGTTAAAGTTTGAGGTTTCGAGAGTTTTAGGAAGAGGGTAACAAACTCTAAGTGCCCACTTAAGCCCTTGCCCATGGCAGTATAAGAGCCAATGCGTACTGGCTTGCCGTGGGCCAGGAACTGCACTAGCATTTAACTTGTATTTTCTCTTTTAATCCCTGTGGTAATTCCAAGATTAACCTTCTTTTCAGCTGAGAAAATGAGCTGAGCATCTGACTTTCTGATTCATTGTCAAATCGGTACCAAATGGTAGAGCCAAAGATTGAACCCCCAAATCTGAACTGGTAACCACTGTCCTGCTCTGTTTATGGTCCTTCTGTAGCATAGACCCAGTAGGACTAGAAACATTTGGAAGCTCTTTCCTAAGACTATCTTTCAAAAAGTGTTACCTGCAACGTGTCGTATACGTCACAAGAGGAAAACTAATTTTGACCAATTTTCAGCGAAGATCTAATTGGTGTCATTGTGAGAAGGCAAGACAGGATTGAAGTGGCCCTCAAACAGAAGGTGCTGAGCATCTCCTTTGCAGCATCCTGTAGATGTTCATTCATTTATGGACTCTTGACCTTGTTCTCTCCTCACATGGCTTCTCTGTTCCCTACAGAAATTAATGAGCGTCAATTACCTGGGCAGCGTGTATCCCAGCCGAGCAGTGATCACCACCATGAAGGAGCGCCGGGTGGGCAGGATCGTGTTTGTGTCTTCTCAGGCGGGACAGTTGGGATTGTTTGGTTTCACGGCCTACTCTTCATCCAAGTTTGCCATAAGGGGATTGGCGGAAGCTCTGCAGATGGAGGTAAAAGTTAAACTCTGAATTTATTCCTCTCAGTTCAGCACTGAGATTCATAGATGTGACATTAAATCTGAGATTCGTAGATGCGACATTAAATTTAATTAGAGAGGGCTTTAAATTTGAGATTTGTAGATTTGACATTAATGAAAGAAAATTGACTCCACCCTGAGTTTTGCAGTTCACCTTTCTCGTTGCATAGAGATTGTACAGTAGCAAAAATGGTTATGTTTTTTGCCTACTGAATACACAAAGTGCTAGTAATATTGTCATGGTGTTTTTTGGCCTAGTACTGTGTATATGTAAGGTTAACCAGATATTTTTTTTCCCTAGAGATCTTCCTTTAACAAAAAGATCTATCCTGATGAGTAACAGAATTAGCAAACCTTGAGGGGAAGCCCTTGAATCAGGCAGTGACTCTTGGCTTTTAGGCAAGACATTTAACTTGGTGTCAGTTTCTTCATCTATAAAATGGGAGGGGTAGAATAAAAAAATCAGTTTGGCTCTCCTAATACTTAAGTTTTTCACATCTTACAAAAATGTCAGAGAGAGTAAGAAAGTGTCTCGGTGCGTGTACCTCTCAGGTGTGAGTGGACTCATACATTATGGTCACACAGGGAGGCTCAGAGAGTGTCACTTGGGGTCTATCCAGGACCACATAAGGTAGAATTTCTTTTGCCCACAGTCTACACTGGAATGTAACACTACCTCACGACGTTAAAAGCCCAGAAGAGACCTTGCATGGCCAGCCCCCTTGTAGTAAGTGTGCTTTTGGAAGTACTGGTTAATCGTTTAGATCAGTGGTGAGTGATTTTTTTCCTAGGGAAGGGCCAGATAGTAAATTATAGGCTTTTGAGGGCCAGATAGTGCTTGTCACACCTGCTGATGTCAGCTGTGGTAGCAGGAAAGCAGCCACATAAATGAACAGGTGTGACTGGGTCCAATAAAACTTTATTTATAAAAGTACACACAGGCTATAGTTGTTAATCCATGTTGAGAATATACCAGAAGAAACCTGGATGGTGTGTGACAGAGAAGCACATGGTCTAAATATTGGACAAGTTATTGGGCTAGTGACTGAGTCCTGATGGGCCACTTGGAGACTGATAAACCGTGTTGTTTTCCTACCAAAGGAACCAGCCACATGTTTCCTTGTTACCAGAAATAGATCTAATCTGATTAAGATTAATATCTTAATCAGAATAGATCATTATAGTACACTTAACCAATAGGGCACGCACGACTGTGAGATTTCAGATAAGAATCTTGTTTTTTTGTTTTGCAGTTTTTACTTAGAAAACTCCCTTTGTGAATAACCATTTTATTTTATTTTTTGTCAAAATTTTTTGAAATACATGAGGCAGATGTTGCTAAACCACCTTATGGAAAGAAAACTGAATTTTCTGTGATTTCAGTGAGTTTCTCAAAGTCATAGAGTTACTTGGTGAGAGAAATAATAAGAAGGCTTGAGTATTCACCTCCACGTGTCTGGGTCTTCCACAGTAGAGGATGTGTCTGGGTTTCAGGTCAGAAGTGCTCTCATTCACCTGGCTGTTTGTCTCCAGCCCTTCACTTTGGTTGTAGAGTCCATGTGGGTGTGGCGGGTGTTTGGAGATAAAAACGTGGCTCACTGGGTTGTTTCCTCTGAATCTGGTCTTGCAGAGACAAGTCTAGATCACTAGTTGAGGGCAAGGTGTGGAATCTGGGTGGTCTGGTTTCACTTCTGGTAGGACAGAGATGCTAATTCAGAAGAGAGAAAAGAGAGCTAGTTGCCAGTACAGAGTTCCCTCAGCCTTGGTGACAAGTGTGTTTTGCACATAGCAGATCCTGGGTTCCCAAGTCGGCTTGACTTCCATCCGTATTTGGACTCCATTGAAAATATCCTTACTTAAACAACAACAACAACAACAACAACAAAAATGTACCCTGAAAAATAGCCTCTTATTTGGGAAGAAATAAATCCTGTTTTCAAAATCTAGTTTGTTCATAGTAGATCTTCCACCAAACCAATTGTTTCCCTACAAACCGAGAGCTGTTTTGAAATCTGGATAATTCAGTCAGTTTCTGTGAATGAAACCAACATAACTGCTCAGATGGAATACTTGCAGTAATCCTTTTGCTTTAATAAACTTTCAAGTCTTCCTTCCCCTTGGTTTTGTCCCCAGATTAAAGTAGGGCCTGGGAAATGCTGTAGATACACTGGATAATCCTGAAGGCATACATATTTTTCTTAATATGTTGGTTACAAATATATCATTGAAAGATTTTAAATTTTAATCTTTGTGGAAAGTAGACTTAAGGTAGGAGCCAACATTGTGCCATCAGAGACCTAGAAAAAAAAAAAAAACTGATCAAGCCCCGCCCCCTCCTCCCTCATCTCTGCCCATAGCGGTCAGAAAGTAAATTGAAGCTTGAATTCTGAAGTTTCATGTAAATAATCTTCTCTCCATCCCCTGTGCCTTTGTTGTCATGGAATGAGGAACAACAGGTCTTATGTGGGATCATTTTGATGGTAAATCAGGTCTTTGAGCGGTTGGTCTTTCTGTTTGAGGTTGATCCCAGGTGGAAGGAAGAAAGAGGACCGTGGGAGTCGGGGCACAGTGGGAGGGCAGAGGGACCAAGAGAAGCAGGCAGTGGCTACCTAAGCAGGACCTTAGTGAGTGGCTCCTACGTTCTTAGAAAGTGGTGATCTCAGGGGTGGGACTTGTCTAACCAAGAACAAGTGAGCCCAGACCACCCTCATTGCCTTTGCTGATTGCTATGAGGTCAGTAGTTCAGGAGGGTATATTCGGTTCTCTGCTCTTAGTAAATCAGGTGACCAAGAGTTTCGGGAGACCAGAAGCTCCACAAGGACAGGGATCAGTTAGCGTGTTCAAGGCCGTATGCTGCATTCTAGGAACAATATTGGCCCATAGTAGGAATTCAATAGGTATTTGTTAGATGATTAAATAAAGCCTGCATAAACGGTTAAGTTACTAGCCCTGGAAATATCCAGCCTTTGACTGGGAGAGTCATTTGGCTTGATAATTATAGAGAGGATACCAGCCCAAAAGGGGATTGGCTTGGTTTCTCTCAACCCCAACAATCTAGGGTCCCACCCCATGAGAAAATGTTCCAAAAAGCTCTGTTTAACCACTGCAACCATAGCCTTGAGTCTGAGACTCTGCTTTGAAATACTGTCTTATGTTAGTTTCCAGTCCTTACTTATTGTGGGGCAGGGGCAGAGAGATGCACAGAAGTGACCAGCCTAAGCATCCAGGGTCAGTCTTTATAAGGCCTCTCTAATTTCCTCTTATTGGCTTTTTTGGGCTGTTTTTCCTTGGTCCATGCCCAGCAGAGGGCAAGGCCGTGGGAGACAAGTTTTTTTTTTTTTTTTTTTTTTTTTAAGTCACTGTCTCAAAAACAAGTGGAAGAGAAATTGCTTGCTCATCAACCTCGTGGCCTGGCCCCCCTCCAGAGCCATTTCTGAGCATAGCTGGGCTGGGAGGATGAGCTCTCTCACGCCCTCGTGGTGGCGCTGGAACGGAACCAACAGAGGCATCTTTTCCCTGTCGCACATTCTGGAATGGCTGGCCAAGGACCTCTGCTTCTCCTGACCCTTGTAGATCCCCATGTTTGACTTCAGAACTGTGCTTCACTGAGAGAACCTGGGAGAAATGGGCAGCGTGATAAGAGGGGGACCCTGGCGGACTCCTGGGGTCTGCAGTAGGCAGCAGTATTGGCGATTTCGCTGTCCTTAGGATTTGCAGTCTAGGCTACCTCTGCTTCCAAAACCAAGAGGTGACCAAAAAGTGAGCCAGTAGCAAACAGCATCATAGCAAAGAGATTCTGATGGTACAAACCCTTGCCCCGAGAGCTGCTGGTTCTCAGGGCCAGGTGAGAGGGCAGGGGGTCTCCCTTACAGAGTCACCCTGTTGCTCTGACCCCCTCCTGAACATCGGGGCACCCAGGGCGGGTCAGTGGGGCAGGATGCAAGATGGAGTGCCCTTGACCTTGCTTCTCTGCCGCAGGTGAAGCCATACAACGTGTACGTCACGGTGGCCTACCCACCCGACACCGACACCCCCGGCTTCGCCGAGGAGAACAAAACCAAGGTCAGTGCACCCGCCTGTGGCGGCCCCGTCTTCAGCGTCATAAGCCTTTTTTTTTTCTGATTTTCTATTCTTCGCTCCAGCTTGTGGTCAGCCACCGGTGTCCGTGGGGTGTCCTGGGGGTAGAGCGCTATCCAGGGCCTGAGGTCCTGCCGGGTTCTGCATAGGAAGCTTCCTCTTGGCTTGTTCTCAGGGCCACCTCCTTCCTAACGTGTGCCAGGGTGGCTCGTCCTATGACACCCGTCACTCCACAGGAGTCTCTGCCTTCTGTCACCCACTCCCGATGCCCTCTCCTCGGGCTTCACTCAACCCGTCCATGAGGCATCCGCTTATTTATTTATTTATTTATTTATTTATTTTTAAGATTTAGAGATTATGTATTGGTTTTCTGCCGTGGAAGATATGATCTAAGACCCCCGTCTATCTCCCCTTCCTGTGTTCTCCCTGGGTAATTTGGTTAAGTCAGATCAGTGTCTATATTCATGTGACTTTATAAATATCATTCACACCTGAGCATTTCTAAAATGACATTTCCTTTCTGGCCTTTTCCTCTCTTGACTTTGTGTGTGTGTGTGTGTGTGTGTGTGTGTGTGTGTGTGTGTGTGTGTGAAGTGATTCACAGTCTCAGACAAAACTAAAAGTCTCCTTTTGATCCCAAACTGGGTTTTCTGTTCCTTTTCATTCTGTTTTCCATGAAGCCGTTCCTCCTGGTCTCCACCTCTGGCCTGATCCAGACCTGCAGGTCTCCACTCCTCTGCTCACCGTTTTCCTGCAGGATCCTGTCCCTTGCTTTGTTGAGTCTCAGGCTTTCCATTTTGTTGCTGCTGTAGTTGACCTGCCTGATTTAGATGAGCTTCTGTAATTTCCTGAGGAAGGGCACATCAGATGTCACCTGTCACCCATGCTTAGAACCTGTGTGTCTGAAAACGTTTCTCTCTTCCCTGTTTGTCCTGAGGTTGTCCTGTGGGGCACAGAATTCTAGGTTGGAAATGAAGCCCCTTCTGATTTGGGGGGCATTTCTCCACTGACTTTGGGCTGGCATCACGATAGCCCAACCCTTTGCATAGAATCAGTTTTTTTTTGGGGGGGGGTTATTTTTGGAAGCTTTTTGTCCCTTTTTATCTTCACTTAATGTATTTTGATGTAGAGTGTTCTCATTTTATATACTAGACACTCAAATGAGCCCTTTTATTCTGATAACTCATGCACTTTGGTTCTGGAACATTTTCTTAATATTACTTTTTTGATAATCCAAAAATCTTTCCATCCAAAGTATGTTGAGTGTTCTTTCTGGAGCTTCTGTTACTCAGATGTTGAACTTTCTGGACTTGTCCCCTATTTTTCTTTGTTTCTCTCTTTTTTTTTTTTCTTTTCCAACTTTTCTGTTGAAATTTTTATTTATGCTGTCATATGTAAAAATTTTTCCAGCTCTTTTCTTTGAATAGTTTACATGTCAAAATGAACCCCACTCTCATGTATGACTATAATGAACTAATAAAAGCATGTGTATCTTGTCCTCCTTCCTGGATTTCAAATTTTATTTCTGAGGATATTCTTTCTGGGGTTTTGGTCTTGTTTTATTTTTGTGATTGTTTGGCGTTCTGTTTTGTTTTCATGTGGGTGTTTGTGCATGGTACTGGGGATTGAGCCCTGAGGGGCTCTGTGTCCCCAGCCTTTCTCTCGGTTAATTTTGAGACAGGATCTTGCTAAGTTGCTCAAACTTGTAATCCTTTGCTTCAGCCTCTCTGCTGACTGAGATTAACAGGGGTGTGCCATAGCGCCCAGTAGGTGGTTTTTTTCTTTCCTTCTTTTTTTATTTTAACTGCCGTCTGTATGTCTGTATCAGTTGTCTGTTTTCTCCAAGTCTCTCTGGTCATCGTTGCTGCTGCTGTTTTAGGCATTCCTCAGACTTAGAGGTCTGGCGATCCGTGGTCATCCACATTTAAGCCAGCTGTAGTGCTCTGGCTTCTGTCTTCCCACTTCCCTGCAGGGCCAGGAGGGGGGACTGGCTCTTTTTGAGGATCCCCGTATGTCCATATCGGCTGTCCTTTCTCATGGCTGGATCAGTTTCCCCAGTGAGGAATCACAAAGCCAGCTCTCTGCATTGTGAGACCCAAGCAGGGCAGGAGGTCTGGGCAGTCACCATCAGTGCCAGCCTTTGCTTGATTTTTTGTTTCCAGCAAGATGCCTCATAGCTTCCCTGAGTGGTGACATGTGGTAGTCATTCTCTGAGTCCAAAATCCCAGTGACTCCAGAGGCTGAGACAGGAGGATCACAAGTTCAAGGCCAACCTCAGCCCTAAGCAACTTAGTGAGACCCTGTCTCAAAATAAAAAATAGAAAGGGTTTTGGATGGTTAAGCACACCAGGGTTCAATCCTCCATACCAAAATAAATAAATAAGGTGGTAGGAAAGGATTTACCCCCTCAAATCGAAGGTGATCTTATCTTTAGTTTTTTTTTCATTTTATTTTTTAGATTTTTGTTTTCCTCTTTGTAGTAATTTTCAGTAAATAGGAATCTCTACAGCATAAAAATTGGTACTTATATTTCATATTCTGTATATTTGCAAAAAAAGATGTTTATGGGGCTGAGGATGTGGCTCAAGCAGTGTCGCGCTCGCCTGGCATGCGTGCGGCCCGGGTTCAATCCTCAGCACCACATACAAACAAAGATGTTGTGTCCACCGAAAACTGAAAAATAAATATTAAAAAATTTTCTCTCTCTCTCTCTCTCTTTTAAAAAAAGAAGATGTTTATGATTTAGAAGCTTTTTCCCCCCTGTTCTTTTCTCTTTGGCTCTGCATTTTTTAAAATTACTACTGTTTCAAAGAAGTAAATTTAAGCCAACTGTCCTGCCTTGGAATAAGCAGAGGCCTGCTAAGCAGATCTTCAGCATTTGGTCTACAGTCTCTTAGTCTGAAGTCAGGGCCGACACAGAGTGGTGACTTCCCTAAGATTTGATTTTGTGTTAAGTCGGGGGTTTTCCTCCTATAAAATACTGGGCTGAGTTCAGGTAAATCCAATTCTGCATTGATCTGTGGACCCTTTAGGGGGCGACATAGCACCTTTAAATCTCCTGTGCATCTGGCTTGGTTGTGTCAATCTAGTGGTTAGAAGAAGGAATGGTGGCCCCTTCAAAGGGGCCTTTCTCTTCATTCATGTTCATCAAGAACCTGTCAGGTTCATCCTGACTTTTATGAACTGCTTTGCTTTCTATTTTAAGAAAATATGTTTATTTTATTTTCCTAAGTCTACATGGTAAATAAAATAGGCAGCCTCCTGAAGATTAAGGCTTTAGTTTGAAACGCCCTTCTAAAGAATTTTTAACACGTGTGTGTGAAGTGCCACAAGAAGAGCCCAAGATAAATGTGAGGAAAAAAGGTTCTTATCATAAGCTGCTTAGGAGATCAAATGTAAGTTCAGAAGTCAGTATAATATATGTGAAGGCAGGAATGTTCAAAGACAAGATTACTGCCAGTTGAGGATTCAGGAAAGGCATTTTGAAATAAGATTTAAGAGGGCCTTGAGCCACCTTTTGAAGGATTTGGGACTGAAACCCCAGCCTTGGAATAGCACTTCACCAAACTCTGGGCCACTGAGTGTTGTCTCATGAATGGGTCCTCTTTCAGCAACCTGTCTCTTTGCTGCTAATGCAGGTCCTTTAAGAAACACCTGCAATTCTTGACCAGGGGCTGGGTTGGGACTGTCCCTGTCCAGGGCCTCAGTTCTGTCCCCAGAAGTCAGTCATCTGCTGTCCTGGGAGTATGGTTAGAAACGGGTGCAGATTTTCCCAGGACATAGGGTCAGGCATCTAGCCAGCAGTGAGGAGTCAGAAGTCCTCATTGAAGCCGAGACCACATACATCCTCTAGACAATCCATGGTCTTCTTGTCTACCTTAGCAGCTGGGCTGAATGTTCCACGGTGACCAAGTAGAAACTGAGTTAGAATCCAGATAGACTTTATTCTAAAATTAAGACTCTGTTTGAAGGTACATAATCACAATTACTTACAAATTGGGGTGCTTATTTTTAATGTAATGGTCAATAATGGCATTGATACAAACATATTTTTCACTTTTAGCCCTTGGAGACTCGACTGATCTCAGAGACCACATCTGTTTGCAAGCCAGAACAGGTGGCCAAACAAATTGTTAAAGATGCCATAGTAAGTAAAATCCTCGTTTGTTTTCTGTACTATTTGTGGTTATACTATATTTCTGAAGATATTTACTCAAGGACTCATTTCAAAAGAAATATTATTTTAACTCTGTGGTCAGATTCATCGTGTCTAATGTCAGACTCTACTTCTCTTCCCTAGACACTTTATTATATGTTATATACCTTAACCTTAGGAGTAGTGTCTGGAACTCGTGTTCTTCAAATGAGACTCATCCGTAGGGTTTAAACCCCACATGCATCCTGTTCTCTTCTTTCTTCTTCTTTCCCACAGAATTTTCAGTTTTTAGATTAATTTGGGGACCTCATTGACAGGTGATTGATTCTTTTCCCTTGCTGTTTCCGAATATCATTTCCCCAAAAGATAACTCCTATGAAAGTGCAGCCAGCCTGCTGGGTCCCTCCTCCAGGTATCCCAGCCCATGTGCTTTCTCAGCTACTGAGTTTGCGGATAATCAAAAATGGTATCATCAGAAATCATGTGCCGTTTTGTGGAACAACAATCCCTGTGTGTCACATGCCTTTTAGCAACATTCCTATTGACCCACATGCAGAAAAATGTACCTTTCTGAGGTCTGCCTGTGATCCGCAGACCCACAGAGGCTTTGAAATATCTTTAGGACCATTGGAGTGAAGGTATCAGCACAGTGTGGTGCAGCCTCAAAATAGCACAGTACTGCTGTGCGGGGCTGAGCTGACGGGAATGAAAGAAATACCGACCTCTGTTAAAATATATACGGGGTGAGCAGCTTTGCCTAGGTTGCCTTAAAAAGCACAGGAGAGGGTACAAGTGGCTCAGATGGGATTTTTTTTTCCGCAGCTCATCTCAAGTCAAAGCAAACAGACCCTAAGTTCTTAATAATCCTGAAGCGTTCTTCCTGTTTGGGCAGGATTCATTTCATGAGATAGTTTTTCAGATTTTTCCTTCTCTCAACTTCCTTACATTCTTGATAGTTATTGACAACCCTAGAGAACTTTTAGTTACCTGGGTTATACTTATCAGTAGTTGCCATATTAGAAATTGAAGCCATAGTGTTAAAAAATTAGTTATGAATTCATTAAAAATAATCTATTGTATTTTAATGTGACATATCTTACGAAAATAATTATTTTCAAAACAAAAATACAAGAAGAGTGGCACTGTTTTGTATTTCACCCAGTCTCTTTAAGGTCTGCATAATAGAGGTCAGCTGGATTCTCTTGTCCATTTCTGTCGTCAGTCTATTGTAGTATTTTGTTTTGGTTGAAGCAGATGAAGAAAATCAGACCACATACGGCTATGTAGTCAGAAGAGGAAGATGTATCTTGTAGGACTTTTTAGATGATTTTGGATATCATTTTCTTCTTCTGATATTAAAATCCAAACTGAGCAAGTGGTCATTCCTTAAAGGTTAGCTACAATGTGAAATTGGAAACCACATCAATGAACTTTTTGTTCTCTGTGACATTAAAATCTGTTGGTCTCTTTTGCACTTTGAATGGATCTTTTACTCATTCATGATTTGGTATCAGGAATTAGTCATTTGGAAAATATGGGTTCACTGAGTTATCAAAAAATCACATTCCTTAATATCATTGCTGATCTTACCATAAAAGAATGTGTTGAGAAGCTGACAGTCTCAAGATGGCAGACCCAGTTTTTGCATATCTGAACTTTTCCTTGAAAGCTCAGATTTTAATGTTACCCACGAATACACCAAGTTGTTTTCCTCCAAGCGACAGGCTCACACGGTTTGCTCTGCTCATCTGCTGTAGCCAAGCAGATCACTCTCCCTGCCTGTCATGGTGCTGGATGGTTTCATATGGAAACAGTGTTCTTGGAGGGCAGCAAGTTCAGCTCCAAGCAGTTGCATTCAAGTGCGGCAGAGGCACTTGGTGCCAGTTTCTCACTTGTCAACAGAGTAATGTAGCACCCCCTCATCCACGAGGGATCTCAGGGATGCCTGAATCTGCAAACCCTCTACATACTGTTTTTTCTCCACGTGTATGTAGGAAAAAAAAGTTGTCTTTGTGTATGTAATTATGGATATATTTTTATTCCTTTGGAATTAAACTCAACAAACGGTCACTTCTTAAAGGTTAGCTACAATGTGATATTGAAAACTGCATCAATGAACTACACAGTTAAACTATAAAATAAGGTAATTTATGAATTTGGTTTCAGATATGCTGGATAAAGAGATAATTCACGGCCAGGGTAGGACAGAGGGGGACGACATGAGATTCCGTTGTGCTACTCAGAGCCGTGTGCAACTTGAAACTCATGAATTGTTTATTTCTGGAATTTTCTATGTAATCTTTTCAGGCCTTGGTTGACTGAAGCTGGGGATAAAGGGGGCTACTGTATTGAGGAGACATGTCTTCAAGGGTTGTGATTTTATAAAATGATTAACTTTTCTTCATTACCGAGGGCCTTTTTTAAAGTAAAATGGACATTTAAAAAAATTTTTAAAGATTTTTTAAAGTTGTGTTTTCTTTGTGTATTTATTATTGCAAATGCATGTGGCAAAGGTAGTGACAGAGATTTTTAGTCTAGTTTGGTGAGAACACTGATGGAGTTAATGGCCCAGTAGGCTTGCCTATTAGTGCACATGTCACTGTGGTTTGACAAGGCAGCGAATCCCTTAGTATTACGACGGTCATTTTTTTCCTTGAGCTTAGGGCTCCCGGAGCTCTGTGGACTCACATTTCCAGAGCTGCCCATTAGTCAGGACAAGCGTCCGAGTTCTAATGTTTGCCTGGTTACCATTCTATCCCACCTAAAGTGAAAACATGCCTCATGGCTGCTGATATGTTGAATTGATTCCTTTCACTTACAATGGATCCCTCTCTCTCTGTCCTCTTCCTTTTCTTTTTCAGCAAGGAAATTTCAATAGTTCCATCGGCTCAGATGGGTACATGCTCTCAGCCCTGACCTGTGGGATGGCTCCAGTAACTTCTATCACTGAAGGACTCCAACAGGTAAGCTCTGCCTTGATCAGACAAACAGACGGACAGAAGACAAGGCAGAAACTGCCCTGTGTCAGACCTCCATGGGAAAAGGCTAAGAGTGGTCTAGTAACTGTATTTGGGGAATGTGAAAAATTTTTATTGAGCTGTCGAATTTTCTCCCTTCCTCTGCTGGCAATAAGTAAATAGGGAGTGGGTTAAGGATATAACCTAAGGAATGTAGACTGGGAAGAAATTTTTGGTGCTGAGCCCTGCAAACAGATGAAGCACTGTCTCTACTATTGGGGTGTTAATCTGGGTTTTCACCTAAGAAAAGTCTTGCTTCAAAGAGTTTGGAAAAATGGAATTCTCTATCTAGTTTACCAGTGGCCTTACCTACAACATAATGAGCTATTAGACTATGATACCTTTTCCATAAGTCAGGTTACCCGTATCCAAGCTTTTGAAGGAGATGTGAGTAGAGGGTTAAAAGGACTCCCCACCGTTACAGCATTTATGGTATTGTCCAAGACACACAGAAGTTACTTATTGATGTGCATGCTGGTGCTGTTTGCTTTGGAGAATCAGATGTAAGGCAACCTCTCTAACCTCAGGGTGCCTGCAGTCAGTCTTCTTTTCTTTTCCTTTCCCTTTTGTAGTACTGGAGATGAACCCGGGGGTGCTCTACCACTGTGCCACATCCGCAGCCCTTTCTAAATTTTTTATTGTGAGACAGTCTCACTGAGTTGCTGAGCCTGGCCTTGAACGAGATCCTGCCTTAGCCTCCGAGTTGCTGGGATTATAGGTGTGCGCCACTGTTCCCAGCACCGACTGCTTTTCTAAGTGGCAGATGAATCTTGTATAAAACCTTCCGTGGCTCCCCATTACCACCCAGATGAAGCTTAAATTCTAGCACATGTAGCAAGTCCTCTGACCTGCTGACCTTTCTGGCTCTTTCTCTTCCTTCCCCTACCCTTCTTTCTCTCTGGAACTTTCCTTATGTCCCTCATCCCCAGCTTTCCTTTGTCTAGTCAATGTTTAATCTTCAACTCTTTGTTAGACTGTCTCATAATTGCTTTTTCTTGAGATTTAAAAATGTTTATGTATATTTACATATATATAATGGGCTACTTTGTATGTATGTGTGTGTGTGTGTGTAATTATTTTTTTAGAACAGTTTTAGGGTTATAGAAAACTTGAGCTAAGGCAGAGTTCCCATATTCCCCCACTCCTCCCCACCTCTCCTCCAGAGTTTCCCTAACATCTTGCATTAGCCTGGTGCCTTGAACCAACACTGACACATTATTCTAAACTCAAGTCTACAGTTGAGGCTGGGGTTTATTCTCAGTGATGTGCACTTCTGTGGGTTTTGACAAATGCATAATGTCGTCTATCTAACAACACAGGGTCATGCAGAATAATTGCACTGCCCTAAAACTGCCCTGGTCTGCAGTTTTCATCCTCCCCAGAGTCCCTGTCCACGAGTGATCATTTTACTGCTTTCCTGGTTTGGCCTCTGCCAGCTTTCCTTTGGTTCTTGTGCTGTTGCAAGTTATCCTTGCTCACGTTCAGAGAATCGAATGATTTCCAAGGGCTGCTAAGGAGATCAGGGACCTTCCCTTGCACCCCACCCAGGACCTCCACAGCACCCCCCACACACCCTGTTCCTTCACCAGAAGCCCTCCTGTTCCCCTGGAAAGGGGAGCCCCCCCGTGTGCCACTCTTTCATGTCATGTTATTGCCTCCCAGGACAAAAGGCGAGCACTTGGCTCTCCCCCACGCCATCCTCTCCCCACCCTCATTTTGTGATATATACTGTCCTTTTGTTTGGGTAGATCCCTAATTGGGAAGATCATTTTGGTGACTGTTTAGATGCCTTTTACAGCTGAATGTGTGTCTCATGTTTAATGATTACTTGTTAAAAAAAAAAAAGCACAACTTCTTGTTTTCCCTAAAATTATTTTTTTGCTTTTTAAATGTATTTCTGAACACTTGTTAACTCACTGTTCCATTCTCCTCTCACCATCTTCATCTTCTCTTGAGATGTTTAGAAATACCCGATATTGGATCAGGAAGGAATTCCTCCTGCGAGCCCGGACCTTGCAGGCCAGACCAGTTGCCCCTTGCCTGGTGCAGAGCTGATGCCTGGCTGCCCGCTCCTTGGTGGTCACGGGACAATCCCTCGGCCTCTTGTGTTGGGTCCCCTCTTCCTGTATCATATGACAGCATCTTTCTTTGTTGAACTTTCACTTCATTTGCCTCTGGCCATAGCTTTCTGGAAAAATAGGGTTCTTGGAAAGCCAATATGTTGAACCCTTGTGTAGACAAAAGCATCTCTTTCTCTTTGTAGTTTAATGTCTTTTCAAGATCCCATTTAGAGTGGCTGTAGTGAGGGTCTGCTGGTGGAGAGACTGAGGGACAATAGATACAGGCAGTTGCTGCCTCGACCCTGAAACAGAAATTGCCTTTTCACTTGATCATCTTTCTAGTTAACAAATAAGCTCCAGCAGAGCACGCTCAGGGAGGCTGAGGCAGGAGGATCACTTGAACCCAGGAGTTCAAGTGCAGTCTGGAAGACATAGTGAGACCGTATCTCGAAAAGGAAAGCTCAGAGAGGACAGGGATATATCTTGCTCATCACAGTCTTGTCAGCACCTAGCACAGGGGCTTTCCTTTGTGCTCAGAAGATAGATCTTAAACCAAAGAAATCTTAATTACATATCTCGGTTTGGGATGCCAAGTGGAACTTCCCTTGCTATTATAGCTCTGTTCTACTAAGAGTACTTATTTTAATCCTAAATTTTATGGTTGAAATTTTTTAATTGAACAAATGTCATCTCTGGTAGTCTCAGTGCTGAACAGTGGTACTGAGCCCACATATTCTGTTCCTCAGGATTTACTGACATTTATATATTTTCATCATACTCATCCTTGGAGCAGATTAGAAAAATGTGTCCCAGAAACTACGTACAAGAGACCTAAATACCTTGAAATGAACTGCAGTGTTATGCTGTTGGATGAGCTGAAAGGTCTCTCTACCTTGCAGGTGGTCACCATGGGCCTTTTCCGCACAATTGCTCTGTTTTACCTGGGAAGTTTCGATAGCATAATTCGCCGCTGCATGATGCAAAGAGCAAAATCTGCAATCGCAGACAAAACTGACTGATTTGTGGAAAAAGACTGTTTCCAAAAATGATTTGAACAGCTTGCTGCTACACGGGACCCACCTTTTGGCCTACAGACACTATGTCTTGTCTTCGAATATGTGGTTGGACCAGTGCTCTTCAGAAGCAAGAGGATAGAAGTTCATTCCGGACAATGTCGTTACACTATGCAAACACGGACCAGGAGCGTTTGGTTTCTGGCCTCTGAGGGGGGCATGGTGGTGGTGTGAGAACTGATAGCACGTAAACAGGGTAAAGAACAGAATGCGAGTGATGACTTAAATTGTTTCTATTTATTCTTTTTTTTTCCCCCTATAGAGATCAAGTCCAGAAATGTACTTTATGGCACATAAGAATAGGTCTGGAGGGCTTTTTAAAACTTTCCATGAAAGGCAGTTTATGGATTTCTGGGCTTTTTTTTTTTTTTTTTTTTTCTGCTTCCTTTTTAACTTGGTGTATTTTACTCGAGATGAGTTTTACTCATTGCCGGTGAGTCTGAATTACTGAGTCTGAGTGTCGTGGACACCTCTGTGCCGTGCTCGGGGGTCTGCTGCTGGTGGGCGCTCTCTCCCTCTGATCCCGTGAAGCTGCGGGGGATGGGAGAGGGCAGTGGAGCGAGAGGTAAGGAGATCAGACTTTTCCAATCTTCTTTAGACCCTAATGCTTCGCAACTTTCCATATTTTATTCATGGGGAAAACAGCGTCCTTAAATGTTTTCTGAAGATAAATAAAATCTTAGAAGCTTAAAAGTTCACAGTTTCTTCAATAGCCACGGTGACCCGAGTTCCCCTCTCCCAGTGCATTTGAGTGGCTGCTCTTCTTCCCGTCTCTCCCTTTCCAGTTTTGCTTATACTACTGTAATAGTTTTGCTTAAAAAAAAAAAAAAAAAAAGACCAGCTAAGATTTATCGACTTTTCAAATTAATTTGTGAATTCATTAAAACAAACAATTAAAAAGTGTGACCTTCTTATTCTTATAGCATAGATGTAGCTTTTAGGAAAGGCTGATGATTGTTGATTTAGATCGTACTCATTCAGAAAAAAAGATGGCTAATTTTGAAGATTCTCATTTTTGAAATAAAACGAGCACCTGTTCTCTCTGTCTCCACCACTGACCCCGAGAACGGGATCTTCAGGCCACCTTTAGTTGAGGAAGCCCACTCAAACCTCTAGCTACCGAGCCCTGGAAGTCTTCCCCACCCATGAATGGGGGGTTGGGTTGTAGGATCTTTCGTCTGTGGAGTGGATTCCCACAGCAAGTGCCTCTGAGGAGTCTCAGCCACTGTTCCCCGTTGCCCCTTGTTGGTTGTACGTGCTCCTCTGACTTCAGGACAGTGTCCTTCCTCTTGATGTTATGTCCATCCCTTCCCCCTTGCAAGTACAGTAGCGCATTCCAGTTCACTTCACTGGGAAAAGACCTCTACTTTTGAAGAAGAAACTTTTTTACTATTCCCTTTTTTTTTTTTTGATGTGTGTGTGTGGTACTGGGAATTGAACCCAGTGGTGTTCTGCCACTAAGCTACACCTCCAGTCCCCCCCACCTTTTTTTTTTTTTTAATTTATTTTTTGAGACAGGATCTCACCAAGTTGCTGAGGCTGGCCTTGAACTTGCGATTCTCCTGCCTCAGCCTCCTGAGTCGCTGGGATTATAGGTATGCACCTCCACCCAGCTTCAAGAAGAAACTTCTTCATTGTTAAAACAAAACAAAAATGATCAAAACCATAGAAATGTAGCCAGGCTTTTTTTTTTTTTTTCTTTTGATTTTTTGAAGCTCTTGACTTTAAAGTGACTTAAGTTTTTTAAACAGTAAGATGTTTAATGGCTCCATGATGTGTTTTTTTTTTTAATCAAGATCTGCATATGGCATATTTTAAACACTGATAAATACAGGAGAAATTATTATTTAATATATGAGTTACTTGGAATAACTTCATTACAGTTTACAGGAGTGGGTTGATGCCAAAACGGTCTCATAGATATTTCAGTCTTATATAGCCAAAGTTTGCAGACGATGTTGAGTCACGTTGTACAGCTGCAAAAATGGAATAATGCCTGTATTTTTCTAATTCACAGAAAACAATTACATTAATATCTGGATGGTCCTTAAATTTATTCTTCTCATATAAATGTTCCTTGAATGTTGACACCTCCTACTGCTGGTCTGTGTTAAAATGGAGTCCAAGGTGGTGTCTGATTAAATAAAATTAACTATTTAACAGTAGTTATTTCAGCATACTTTTTTTTTTTTTTCAAATTATCCTTAGAGAGAACACTGTTACTCCAGGGAGTCTGCTGCCTTAACACATTTAAAAGCCCATATTCTGTGGTGAGATATTGTCCTTAAACCAGTGTAAGCCTAGGCATGAGAGCAGATTTGCAGAGATTGTAAAGCCATGCAAGGAACCTTTGTCAGAGATGGTTAAGGCCTACACTCCCTTATCCCAAAATCTTTGAAACCAAGTTTGTTTCTCTTTTTTCTAAATTTTATCCCACTGTTATATTTGTTAGCAAAATTTGACTTGAACTAATGGGAGATTAATGTAGTTTATAATGCCACTTTGTATTGCCCAAAAAAGTAGCAATAGGTATGATTCCAGGTATTGCCAAGACTTTGGAAGTTCTATAATAGACAGTGCATGCCCACAGTACCTTTCAAAGATCCCACAAATTTTGAATTCTGAAACATATCTGGCCCAAAAAGTTTTGGATAAGGGACTTTAGACATTCAAGCAGCATCCCCCAGGGCTGTGACTTCATCCCAGGCACAACAATGTTAAAAAGAAAATTCTACTTCTTAATCTGTTTTGGCTTGATTCTTGTACAACTTGCTTTTCTGGGCAGGGGAAGAAGAGGAAAAAAAACGAAAAAGGGAAAGAAAACCTCAGTCTAATTGTTAGGGAAACTATGAATTTTTTCCCCTTTTTTAAGATCATATTGATTCAGGGGCTGTGGACGTAATTCAGTGGTAGAGTGTTTACCTAGCACATGTGAGAACCTGGATTCCATCCCCAGCAACAAAACAAGAGAAAAACTCACATTGATTCAGTATCTACTATAGCCCAAAGTGGGTGGATCTTCCTTACGGCAGCAGAAGTTTTTAATTTTTTTTCCCTTTGGTGCCGGCGATTGAACCCAGAGCTTCGCACCATCTCTACCACTGAGCTACATCCCCAGCGCTAGAAGTCCAATAATGATTCTGTTGAAATGTTGACTCTGTGTGATCATCAACAACTTCCGTGAATTTCAGTTCTGAAGTGCCTGCTCTTCTGGGTTTGGTTGTTCTATTTTATTTTCATTTACTTGTGAGTGTATTTATTAAGAATTAACATGCAGCCATACAAATTCTAAAATATGTTCAAGGACCCTTCATAATTAAAAAAATGTATAGTAAACAATTCTCATTTCTTTTTACAAAAATAAAAATCATGGCCTGGGGATGTGACTCAGTGGTAGAGCCTGGCATGCCTGGGGCCCTGAGTTTGATCCCCACCACCACAAAAAAAAAAAAAAAAAAAAATTATTTTCTATATTTTTTTAAAAAATTAATAATAATTCACACAGTGAAAAGAATAAAATTTTAATTTGGTTATGATGTCTCTTTACATTAATTAGTACATATATTTGGTTTTATTTATCTGGATCTTTCAAGCCATATGTTATTGATTCTTGCAAGTGAAACTTTAAGAGACTTTCTAATACTTAGATGATGGGAGCCCTTTGGTAACAGTTGCTTCAATTCAAAGAATTGTATTTTTTGTCTTTCTAGAAGAGGTCAGTACATAATTTTTTCTGAATTATGTCATCAGATTTAATTTTATTACATCATGTTCTAATTTAAACGTGTATTACTCACTTGAGGACGCTTTTAAATATTCATACTTTTGATGTAAATGCTTTGTATCTTTCTCATTTCCTTTAGTTCTTAGTAACTCAGCTTTAAAAAGTACTTGCTGACCATAACCTTCCAGTTGTGGACGGAATCACTGTTCACGTTACAGTTCAGGGTAGCTGTGGATTTGATATTTCAAAGAGGAGAATAGTTGCTTTTATATTTTACACTTGCTTGATGTGACAACTCTATAGTCGTTTTTAAATTGAAAAAGAGCACATGGCTATTTTGATACATTTTAGAACTGTGTTGGCTACTTTAGAAGCTTTTGTGGCAAAATTGTAACCTGATTTTCATATCTTGTATTTCTGAATCACAACAAAAAAATAAATGAGGAACAAGCTTTACAAATCTGAGAACTTATTTTCCTAGATATCTTTTTAAGAGGACACGTTAATTAACAAGACATGAACATCTTCCATAATGTTATATTGACTTTGCATCTATCACAAAGCCTGATTTTTATCATTTTTTTTTTTTTTTTAGAAAGTGACATTTTCAGTACATACATGATTGTTATTCCGAGTTTTTTCAAACATGTTCTGTTTGTAGGATTCTGATACAGGGTATATGAGTAAAAGTTCAAGAAATGTGGAATTTGGTAAAATCTAAGTAACTGTTTCAGATACAAAAAATAGATATTTTGTACTTTGCATTATATCTGTATATTCCACCAGTAAACTATCTCCTAGCTCTAAAAAGCAGCAGATGATACAAGACTGATACTAAGAAGAGCACACCTTAATATTCTTGATATTCTCTTAAACAGAGAATTTTCTGTCACATCAAGAAGAGATTTTTTTGGACTCCTTGGGGTTGATAAGTTTAACCTTTAAATTTGAGTAATTTTTATTCATAAGTGACATATGATATCACTTATTTAACTTTTATGTTTGGATGTTAAAAAGAAAGAAGTTATTTTCTTGATTTCTATTCACTCCTGATTTTATAACCTCCATCCATCATATTTGTTGAATACCAATGGGGAGCCAGGTGCGATAGCATACAACCATAATTCCAGCATCTCGGGAGGCTGAGGCAGAAGGATGGCAATTTCAAAAGCAGCCTCAGCAACTTAGCAAGATCCTAAGCAACTGTTTCAAAATACAAAATAAAAAGGGCTGGGGATGTGGCTCGGTGGTTAAGCACACCTGGGTTCAGTCCCTAACAATGATGAGCTGGATGTCCAGACACTGGGGATACAATTCTGCACAAGAAATTTGTTATTTATCCTGGTGATTGCATTTCTTGTTTCTCTATCACCTCCTTTCCTTAATCCCTCTGATAACTCTACTAGATGCTTACAAGTTTTGCTGGAGAAAGGGGAACAAGTTCCCAACTCTTTCTTTGGCTTGAGGCCTCTGAATTTTATGACTGAAGTATTTGAATGCCAAGAACCCTGTTGTAGTCTGGAACTCCACCAAGGAAAAATGTGGTCCCTGCCTTCAAGTAACTTAAAATCTAGTGCAGAAAACATTCCTGAAATTGCACTTGATCAACAATAGATTGAAAACAGATGCCCATCACTGTTGAGTGCTGGACATGTTTTAAATCACTGAAATTATACATTAACTCTGTGAGTGATATTTTTATCTCCCTGTGTTATGAATGAGGGAGCAGAAGGAGAGGTTCATTAACTAGCCAAACAGTGGAGCCAGGATTCAAACCCAGGTTAGTGGTTTTTAAGCTACCTGTCCCTGTACCAAGCCACATCTACCAGCAGATGGACTCCAAAGGCTGCCCAGGAAAGTCAAGGATGTTTTCTCAGAGAAGTTCTTGAGCTGGGACCTGAAGAATGAGTATTAATTTATCAGGTGGAAAGGTTGGGTGCATTTCAGGAAGACCAGCCAGTGTGCGAAGTCAACAGATGTTGGAGATCTTGGCATGTTCCAGAAACCCCCATAAGTTAACCTACCTGTGAGAGGGCAAAGTGGAAGGGAAGGGTGGGCAGGCTTGGCCAGATCATGCCATGCAGAGGAGTGGAAGAACTGAGCAGAAATGCAAAATCACGATTTTTTAAGAAAGGTCCTGGTGACCCTTGAAG